CATTAGAGAGCTGCAATCACAGAGCTTTATTTCAGAGATAGATCTCTAACAGCAGAACTAAGAGGTTTGCAATGACCCGGGCACCTCCTGGTGCCAGTAATAAAAGAGCGGGTCATCTCTTGGCTGGCCTGGCCACCGGTGATGTGGAGAGCAGCCACCTGTAACAACAGGCATTGTCCAGTGCTTGCTGGAGGAACCTCTCCCCAACAGGCTGGAGGAACCTCTCCACTGCAGTCAGGCATGTCCCAGGGCCGGGGGCTCCTTTTGCACCCCCTCTTTATGCATCCCACTGTGGGGTGCCCCTGCCTGGGCTTTCCCTTGCTGCCCCAGGGTGAGGGCATGAGCAGCACCTGTGTGAGCACCGCACCCTCCTCAGATGTCATGCTGTTGGTTAAGATATGGTTTTCACCCACCCACAGCTTCTCTCCAGGTTAGAGGTCTCCTGCACGGACAGACTCCAGGATGAAGTGCTTGACCAAAGTCATCAGCAAGTCAGTGGCCAAGTGAGGAAAGGACCCCATCTTCCCCCCAGGCGGTCTATCATAGAGCCTGGGGACAGGCCACAGAGCCTGGGGACAGGTCAACAAGGAGATAGGGAGGTCTCCATCCTAGAAGGTTTCAAGGCTTGGCCGAGTAAAGCCACAACCACTCTGATCTCGTGCTCCTGTGAGCAGGAGGTTGGGTTAGAGACCAGCCCCTTCCTTCCCTCATCCCCTGACGTGAGGAAACATCTGAGTTAACCCCTGCCAGCAGAGCAGACAGAAAAAATGCGTATCTGCAGGGCAGCATGATGGAGTCAACCCAACAATTCACAGTTTCCTGGGTTTGTGGTTGCGGGATCCGAGCACCACACGTGGATTTACTTGTTCCACCCCCAAAGTGAAAAGAAAAAAAAAAAGTTAGTGAAAAAATAAGTCCAAATGAAGGCGCAGACGTGAGGCTGGTGTTCAGCCCTTGCTGTGCTGGCTGTGCACAAGTGTCACACAGCCCTCTCCTCACCAGCAACCGACGACTTCAAACGCTCACGACGCAGGTCGCACACGGAGCCCAGCCCCACTGCTTTTGTTGGAGCCTCACAGTTATATCACAAATGTGCTGTGAAAATCCTTAAGTATTGATATTACTCCAGGAGGCACACAAATGAGTGCCTTGGGATGACAACAAATCCTTTTTCTAGTTGTGCTGTTGTGTCGATGGTACCTTGCTGACAGTGTTCGGGTTGTTTCATTTTATTACAGAATCACAGAATCTTCTAGGTTGGAAGGGACCTTAAAGATAATCTTGTCCAACCGTCAACCTCACTGACAAAAATAGACACCCACACAACAAACAAGAAGCCTCACCATCACTAAACCATACCTCCCAGCACTACATCAACCCGGCTTTTGAACACCTCCAGGGATGGTGCCTCAACCCCCTCCCTGGGCAGCCCATTCCAATGCCTGATAACCCTTTCAGTGAAAAAATTTTTCCTAATATCCAGCCTGAACCTCCCCTGGCGTAACTTGAGGCCATTTCCTCTCGTCCTGTCGCCTGTGACTTGAGAAAAGAGACCGACCCCCACCTCTCTACACCCTCCTTTCAGGGAGTTGTAGAGAGCAATAAGGTCTCCCCTCAGCCTCCTCTTCTCCAGGCTGAATAACCCCAGTTATTGCACGTATTGTGAGGGCAGAATGAGTTAGGACTGATAGTTCCTTTGTATATTCAAACTAAAAAGGTAGGATGGACCTGGTTTGGTTCAGATTTATTTACACATAAACAAATTTCATCTGTTTCCTAACACAGACACGTCCCTGCAGAAATAACCCTCTCGATTTGTCACACTGCCATTTCGAGCCCTATTGCTGGGAAATGAACGTCCCGCAAGTATAAGGAACTGCCCTGAAATCTGAGATTTACCAGATGTACTCAACTGAAGAAGCCCAGAATGGCCCCCAGCCCCGGCTCTGCCCGAAAAGAGCACCGAGAGCAACCCTATCTCCTGCCGGACCGAGGCAAAGCGAGCGCAAACACACAGCTAAAGAGGGAGAAAAATATCAGCTTGCATTGCGCCGCGGGGCGTCCCACAGACCGCCCAGGACCTGGGAGTGTCTCCGTCCCACAGCACAGCACACGGCCGGGGACATCCCCTCGGGGACAACAACCTCTCTGGGAACAACGGGGGGACATCTGCAATGGGGGCTGCATCGAGGTACCCCCACCACCCACTTCTCCAGGTCCTGTCAGTGCTGTACAGCACAGGGATGTGGGCGATGAAGATGATGAAGAAATGGAAAACATGAAGATATTTCCAATATCGGTTCAGTTTGGGTTCTTTAATTTCCTAATCCAGGCTTGCAGTTCCTCTGCCCTCCCCTGCCTGCAAAGGGCAAATTTCAGCTCCCGTGAAGACAAGAGATGATGCAGTTCCGTGGCACAAGAAGGTGCTGAATAGTTACCATGAAGATGTCTTCCATTGTTTTTGGCTCCCAGCAGCCTCAGGAACGATGCTGGGGGGCTGCAGTTTGCAGTGTACAGTAAACCAGGGTCCAGGTTACAAGTTCTCTGTGGTGTAAACTCCAAGACACTCTAGGAAAGGTGAGGCAGAGCAGGACCAAGGTGGCCCATCTCCTTGGGTCTGGCTTTCAGGCTTGGTGGGATAATTTCAAATGACTTGGGACAGCATCAACTGGAGCTGGGGTGGTGTTTCAGCTCTCCAGCCGAGCTGTCACGGGGTCCTGGGCCTTTCTCCTGCTCACGTCCCCATGAGGACACCAATCCTGAGGTCCACACCAGTGGGAAGATCACTGGCACCACAGCAGGCAGGGAAATGTCCTCACTCACATCAGGAGTGTTTCTACTCCAACGAGATCTACCGCAATAAAACCATAAAATTATTGATCCCTGATATTCAGACAAGACATTATCTTGTCTGATGGATCCGTTGGTTGATCCTGTTGGTGATGGATCTATTCTGGGGAACATCCCTAGCAAGCCCTTACCTGCTCCTTGGGCTGCAGGCATAGGTGAGGTGGAAACCTGGTGCCCACCTCACCTTGGTGGCACAGGGACAGCACACAGCCCTTGCTCCCAGCAGGAGTGACCAAACCCACGACCAATGTTTGCGCCACGCTGTGTCCCCACTGGCCATGGCCCCTAGGATGCCAACAGGGGAAGCTCTGCTCCACTCCTTCCCCGGGGGTCCCACAGCCTGCCACACACCAAGGGGTACCCTGGGCACCTCTGCCAAGGCTCTCCCAAAGCCGTGGGCATCCCTTCTGTGGGAGATGACATCATTATTGTTCATAATCATGGAATCACAGAATTGTCAGAGTTGGAAGAGACCATGAGAGATCATCTAGCCCAACTCCCCTGCCAAAGCAGGGTTGCCCAGAGGACATCACTCAGGAGCATCCAGGTGGGGCTTGAAGATCTCCAGAGAAGGGGACTCCACACCCTCCCTGGGCAGCCCGTTCCAGGGCTCTGGCACCGTCATGGGAAATAAGTTTTTCCTTGTATTTCAGTGGAACTTCCCATGTTCCAGCTTGTGCCTGCTGCCCCTCATCACGACTTCCCATGTTCCAGCTTGTGCCCGCTGCCTCTCATCACGTCACTGGGAACCACTGAAAAGAGTCCAGCTCCATCCTTTGAGACATTGAGGTGCTGGAGCGGGTCCAGAGAAGGGCAACGAAGCTGGTGAGGGGTCTGGAGATTAAGTCTTATGAGGAGAGGCTGAGGGAGCTGGGGGTGTTCACTCTGAAGAAGAGGAGGCTGAAGGGAGACCTTATTGCGCTCTGTAGCTACCTGAAGAAGGGGTATAGAGAGGTGGGGGTCGGTCTCGTCTCCCAAGTCACAGGAGATAGGACAAGGGGAAATGGCCTCAAGTTGCGCCAGGGGAGGTTTAGACTGGATATTAGGAAAAATTTCTTCATGGAAAGGGTTATCTAGCATTGGAATAGGCTGCCCAGGGGAGTGGTTGAGGCACCATCCCTGGAGGTCCTTAAAAGATGGGTTGACATGGTCCTCAGGAATATGGTTTCGTGGTTTGTTTTTTTTATATAGTCCTCAGGAATATGGTTTCGTGGTTTGTTTGGTTTTTTTTTTATATATATTTTTTTATCAGAGTTAGGTTGATGGTTGGACTAGATGATCTTTAAGGGCCCTTCCAACCTAGACGATTCTATGATTCTATGATCCTCCTTCAGCCCACCCTTTAGATAGTTGTCAGCATTAATAAGGTCTCTCCTCAGCCTTCTCTTCTCCAGGCTGAAGAGTCCCAGCTCTCTCAGCCTTTCCTCATCAGGGAGATGCTCCAGTCCCTCCATCACCTTTGTTGCCCTACTCTGGACTCTCTCCAGCAGTTCTCTGTCTCTCTGGAACTGGGGAGCCCAGAACTGGACACAGAATCCCAGTTGTGGCCTCCCCAGTGCCGAGCAGAGGGGGAGAATGACCTCCCCCCACCCACTGGCCACACTCTTCCCTAGGCAGCCCAGGACCCCACTGGCCAAGGGCCACCAGTGCCCATCGCTGGCTCCTGGACAGGTCACTCCCCACCAGGACCCCAGACCCTTCTCCTCAGTGGTGCAACGACCACCCGAAGGTCCCCGAATATTTCTCTCTGTGGGTCAGCGGCGTCACCCACGACCCCCCC